CTGTGCCTGCTGCTGGGAAGAAAATTAACTCTGTCCCAGCCGAAACCAGGACAACGTTCCTTGCCCAGTCCTGCTCCCGGGCCTCTCTTTGTTCAGAAAAGCCCACGCAGGCATTAATACGTGTTTCGTCTCTTACAGGGTCCACGGGGATTACTGGGCCCCCGAGGTACGCCTGGTCCCCCTGGACAGCCGGTACGTACAAACTGCTTTGTGTTTGCAATTTCCAGACGAGAAATGGAAGTCCGCTGCAAGTTGCTCATGTTTATATTGTTTGTTGTAGGGCATTGCAGGTGTTGATGGACCTTCAGGCCCAAAAGGAAACATGGTGAGTAAGTTGGGAATTAAAAAGGGAAGTGGATTCTAGGAATCTGCACTCTCTCGTCCCTGCCACTACGCAGTCCCTTCCATTTAATTAAACTTTTCTGTCAAAATATTCAGCGGCATGATCATAGAATCATAGAATGGTTTAGGTTGGAAAAGCCCTTTAAGATCACCCAGTCCAACCATTAACCTACACTACCAAGTCCACACTAAGCCAATCAAGGGTAGACCAGACTGAACCATGTCCCCAAGTGCCACCTCTGCCCGTTTTTTGAACACTTCCAGGGATGGGGACTCCCCCACCTCTCTGGGCAGCCTGTTCCAGTGCTTGATGATCTTACTCAGAAAAGAGAAGCCTTCTGGTACTTGCTTCTCAGCTGAAAGGCCTACCCGTGCGTCCTCTCAAGCTCCTTTAGCACCATGGACTCCAGTGCTTGGGTCCTAGCGTGGGCTGTTATTCTCTACTAAAGAAAAGGCCGTGATACTCATTAGCATGAAAAAATATCATCCTGGATAGAAAGTTGGTGGTGGACTTTAAAGAGGGAGGAACAAAGATGAGTTTGTATTCCTTTTAGTCCTGACAATGAAGATCTGTAGTGCAGAAACGCAAACCTAATGCCCGGGTATTTTTTTTGCATGGTAGGGTCCTCAAGGGGAACCAGGACCTCCTGGTCAGCAAGGAATCCCAGGCCCACAAGTAAGTGTAAAATAACTCTGAAGAAATACGATGTAGCGCGCAGCAAATGTTTAATAAATGGAAATTACTAAAAGGTTAGCTTTTCATGTGCAAAACTGATAAAGCTTCAAGGATTTTATAAGTAATGCTGCAAATGTGCCGAGGGCAGTGGGAGCAGAGTTTTCAAGTCAGCTTTCAGAGGGATTTTTCATTCAGGAGAAAAATGAGTCATTCAGTGTTCCTGGAATGCAGCGGGAAGGGCCACACCTGGAGGAGGGTTCTGAATAGGATCTTGTTACAGCCCTACTGCCAGCGCCGTGCCTTGCGCACAAGGCTCACACAAAACCCCTGGTCTAGCTCCTGGGGGGGGGAAAGCCACTTCTGTTTGCCAGCGTGTTTAAACAGATTAATGAGGGACCTTTAGTAGGGTGAATGTACGTATATTGTTCTCCCTGCTTTCTCACACTGGGTTCTTTTTAATAGGGGCTTCCTGGTCCGCAAGGTCCTATTGGACCTCCTGGTGAAAAAGTAAGTTACAGCATTATTCTGGTATTTCACAGGCAGTTCTGTGCAACAACCTTGCTTATGTGCTCAAGGGCTTTGCTGTTTTACGGAATAGTAACCTAAGATCTAAAAATTCGCAGATCTTCCTGAAATCCTCAAGTAAATGAATAACCAATGGAGGCCTGGCTTTTCTCTCATATACGCTTTTTCATGAGCATAATTTCCTCCCTTTATTTTGGATTAATTTTCTGTTATTAGCTTCAGAATCCCATCTACAATATTAAACACCGTGCACTTGTATGTTAATTAATTTCACAGCAAGCTGTGAAAATTAGTTTTATTAATCTCTTTTCTATAACAAAGTTTTACCTACTGAACTCCGAGTCCGTTCTCTTTTTTCAAGGATTATATTTTGACATAACTCTGCAGTCTGACTGGCATACTGTGGTGTCACTTGGTGGTTTTTTCCCTGATCTGTCTGTTTGTACACGTTCTTGTGGCTTGAAGCATGTCTTCTGTTAATTTTAAAAATGTCGCTATTGAATTTTACGCTAATTTTACTTTTCTCCCCTTTTTGCTGAATTCCTGCTCTATTGACTTGTCTTTGATTTTGCTCCCTTTCGCTGCTTAGTATATACTTTAGGAGAAACTGAAGGAGATTTTAGGAGACAATATACATGCTTTTTGCCTGCCTGTGTGCCTAAGGAGCGTTACCCTAGCCATTTGTACTCATGCCAGAGGCTTTCACAAAGACGTACCACGCCTTTCAGCTACGAGCGCTGGCGTTCTGCAACCTCTACTCTTTGCCTCTTGATCTTGTTGGTATCTGACGTATGGCGAATCCTTTTATTCCTGAAATTCTAAATACTAGTTAATGTTGTACACTGGAGGATTCTTCCCCACCTTGTGTTGTGTGTGTGCGTGTTCGTAGGGTAATTCCTGAAGCCTGTTCTCAGGCAAGCACCTTGTTGAAAAATACAGGTGATTTGTATTGCCTAAAGATTGTAAGAACTGGCCTTGCACTTACATATTGTGTGATAGTATCTTTCTGGGTTTAGTTTTGTTATATTTTTGGTTTATCCCTGATATTCATATCAAGGGATTTAGGCATAACTACATTTTATATCCTTAGCTCTCAGAGTTCAATGTATTGGATATGGGTGGGGTTTTATTTTTCCTTTTTTTTTTTTTAAATTTTTATTCTTTTTCATATAGCTTCTCTACACCTGGGGTCGGTTCACCAGTTGTTTTAACAGAGATTAAAATACTAAAAAGATTTAAGGTAGTTTGCTGGTTTAGGACATCCCAGTCCTCAGCAAGGATGATCCTCCATCATCCCAGCAAGTGGCAGATTGTTCACTGTTGTTCTTACGATGTGTCTCTCTTACTGCATTTAGGGTCCTCAAGGCAAGCCTGGCCTTCCTGGCCTTCCTGGTTCTGATGGGCCTCCTGTAAGTAACTGAATAGTGCATCCCTTGAATGTTTAAATACTTTTTCCCAAGTAATAAATATTTCTGGATACTTGTAGTGCAAAAACAAAATGGAGAGTAAAAGCACTGGTAGTCCTAGTTGGCAACAGCGTTATCAAAATCCATCTAAAACCCCTGGATCATTTGAGCTGTTAAAACTTAAGATAATTACATTTTTGAAGCAGCTGCTAAAAATGGCTGTGGGCTTTTAAAATGTTGTCCCAGATGATGAAATGCATCTGAAACATCTGCGGGGATGTGTAAATAACCTAACTGGCACACAGAGGGCCAGATACTGTTTCGCTGTAGTCCTGCTATGTCAGTACGGCAAAGCAAGTCATCTGTAAAAATGCTCACCACTTGTTTTCTGAGGAAACACAGGATAGACTAGATCTTTCTCTGCTTCCTGACCAAAGGTGCCTCTTACATGTTTGGGCTGCTTCCTGCATTGTCTACACTGGGACAGACCTGAGGCAAACTTTGGAATCTTGCGATCGCTAAGGAATTCAGCTTAGCGCTGGGGATACGTTCACTCACGTGAACAGAGCGCAGCCACCTGAGGAGTGTTGCTTACGGCTCAGGCATTCAACTGAGGTGGAATCATTGTTCATAATAAAATATAAATCAATAAAAAAATCAAATATATAAAAATA